TGTTTTGGTACCTGCTGTAGTGCTCCTGGGGGTCAGTTTTGTCCGTCGTAGGGCTTGATGAGTTGCCCTTGGTATTTTTCCGGGATCCGGGCCGCCAATACCCTTGGAGTAAATGGCGTCCGGGTCCGGAGTTGTATGGGGGGTTCCCCGGAGCCCTCAGCTATCTTCTTCTGCATCTCCTCCATCTTGGCCAACATGGCCTCATACTTCAGGTCTGCATGAGGGGCAGAAGCGATGGCGTGCGCTTTGGTGGCCTCCATCTCGTCAAGCCGGCGCTGGAGGGCGCAATGATTTCGTCCCGGGGATCCTTCGGGAGGGCCTCCGCCCCCTGCGAACGGACACAGGCCGAGTGGGCCTGGTTGATGTGGTGACGGGCGTCATCGGCATGGAGAGGTGCCTTGCCTTTGTCCTGAGGGGGACGTCTTTCATCCGCCCGGGAAACGGATCCGCCACTTTCCTGAGGCCTTTGGAGCACCTTTCCCCCGAGGCGGTCTTCGACCCCTCGGCGGCCTTGCGCCCCTCCGAGTCTCTCGATGGAAGAGGTTCGGGGCTGTTCCTTGTTCATGTTGTGACGGTCCCGGGATTGGACTTCCTGGGAGGCCGTATCTTGGGCCACGACCCCCTCGACGTTCCCAATCCGAAGGACAGGGTTCCCAAGGGGGTGTGGATGAGGGGGAGGCATGATGTTTCCCCAACCTGAGGTTGAAGGGGAACCAAAGTGCCGAAGGCATCCGGTTTCTGCGTTTGGATAAAGGCGGAAAACACCGACTGTACGTCGATGGTGATGACCGGGGGGGCTAACTTGGTTTTCGCTTCGGTCCTTCTTTTTGGCCTCGATGACGAGGCGGGCATCGGGAGCATTTTGTTGAATCTGAAGGCGTAGGTCGACATCCGCCTGATCCAACCCGGCGATGACGCCTCCCCCGGGAGCCCTGTTAGAGGCCTCGGGGACGTCGACTTCACCGAGCGGCAGGTTCATGTCCTCAACGTTCTTGGAGTTGGCACGAGTTGTTCTCACCATTTTCGCTAGGTGTTTCGTGTTTGGCGAGGGGAAGGGTTTCTTACTTGATTATTCAGCTCTCAACGAGAGCACCAAATGATGGATAGTCTACTCGGGGGTATGTATCCGAAGGGTTACTGTGGGGAGTAACTAGAGAGAGGTCAGAGCAAGTAAGAGAGAGAAAGTGTATTGAATATATGAGTTCAAAGCGTATTCCGGATCTGGTTTACAAAGGGGAAATGGGATGCTATTTATAGTAGTAATAAATGCGAGATGGGGACAGGTGTCAAGCTTCCAACGGCCGAGGGGTCACATCAACCGGGTGTCACTGGCATTCGCATGTGGCCGCATTTAATGCGGCGGTTGGATGTGACGTTTGTACCTGGTACGGCGACCCAGGCGTATGTGGAGAGGATATTCTTGTCGAGGAAGGTACCATCGGTTGTAGATGATTAGCCGAGGGCTCTTTCTGTCGAAGGCCCCTTAAGGCCGAGGGCCCCAGGTGCCGAGGGCTACTATTTTTCGCCGTTTTCTCCCGGTAACTTTGTATGCTAAAAATAGCCTTTCTGTGAGTATCTGGAGCCTTCGGCCAAGGGGCCGAAGGCACCCCCAGTGTGCATTGTTGGTTGTTTGGAACTCAGGGTGCTGTGATTTGGGCCTGTTGTGCTTCTTGGGCCTATTGGGCCTTGGTTAGAGCAGTAGGAGTCTATGGGCCGGGGGTCCCTGGGCCATATACTCCATGAGGGACAATAATTTCGGGACGGAGGGAGTATGTGTTATAGTTATTAATGCGTAAAACCCCTCCATGAATTAATTTAATTGTCAAAAAAAAGCAAAATGATTAGTATTTGTGTTCTCTGTATAATTTAGAAATCTTGACCAAGTTACTTACATTTCCAATCATATATATTATAAGCATAAGTGATTTCCAAATTGTTAAATTTTTACTTGGAAGAGTTTTTTCACATGAATAATTATAAATTTATAATACAAGAAAGAATGATGCATTTTGTTGCATTATACCTTGGTTTGGTGTGCCTTGTACAACTGAAATCCATTCAATTAGAAACATCATAACAAATTAAAAATTGAATATTTTATAATGAAGTAACCCTTAAGTTTGTGATCTCTCGTCATAAGCCTGTATTGTGCACCGCAATTTATATCCTACAACCGACGCAGCATGAGGATGATGCGCCCGGTTGTAAAACGACGCATCTTCCATTAGTTTTTATTTCTTTTATTGTTAAAAATTGTAATAACTTTTTTATTTGATATCCGATTTTTATAAATTTTATATCAATTTTTTTTATTTTTCATGACCTATCAAATGAGATCAATATTGCTTATGTAATTTTAACAAATTATTTTGAAGTTACATTTGATAATATATCATGAAGTTACATCTTCTTCTGCGCGAGTTACATCTTATTGTACGCGAGTTACATCTTAATATACGTGAGTTACATCTTAATGTATGTGAGTTACACCACAAAATAAACCCGTTCTACATCTTTCATTTTTATCATTTGAAAAATAGTGTATGAATATGAAATACAATATACTTATTTTATGTGGATTAATAAAATTTTGTATTAAATTGGCGATGAAAAAACTTAATTTAGTTATAATTGAATTAGTTCAAGATAAAGATAAGTAAAAAATCACAAATAATTAGATATAACTCACACATAATTACATGTAACTCACACATAAAAGTATGTAACTCGTGTATAACAAGATGTAACTCACACATAACAAGATGTAACTCACACATAATAACTTGTAACTGGAGTATAAGATGATGTAACTTCGTATATTATCAAATGTAACTCCAAACTAGAATCAAAATAAACAAACTCAATATCTTAAAAACATCTAAAAACATATAAAAGTGATAAAAAAATATATTATAGAAAAAGTGTATGCATATAAAAATATAATACAAAAAATGTATGAATGTAAAAAATTAAAATTACATTGGCAATATTGGTTTCATTTGAAAGATCATGAAAAATAAAAAAATTGATATAAATTTTATAAAAATCGGATTAAAAATAAAAAAATTATTAACAATATTAAGAAAAGGAGAAATAAAAAATAACACAGGGTGCATGGTGCTCACCATGCACCGGTTCCACAGTATAAGTACCGGAATATGTGACATCAACCATACCACCTTGCAAGTACTTTTCATAGGAAGACAAATCAAAATGGCGGTGCCCATACATTGCCATGAGAATGACTTTGGACTCGCCGGTCTCTTCACAATGGAGTCAGTGGCGGAGCCAAAGGACGGTCAGGGTGGTCAGTCGACCCCACTGAAAGTATAAGAATGTAGAGCTCTGAAATACTTTCGATTTGATATATTATGGGTCTCGTAACTCATTACGAGTAAAAAGTTATAACTTCTGGAAAAATCAGCATCATCTTAACTTTAAATAGGCCAAATTTGATGTGTGACGTTGATTATATTCTTAAATTTAAAATTGAAACAACTTATTCAGTCATTAGTTGTGTGAACATTATGGTACATTAACTATATATCAACACATTAACCGAAAAATTTTCATTAAACTACCATTTATCTCACCTACATATGAAACATTTAACTCAAGTATTGTATAATAACTATCCATCATTTTGATACTGTATATAATTAAATTTTGACCTCCTGACACATTTTTCTGGCTCCGCCCGTGAATGGAGTGCTTCCCTTATGGTCGCCGCTATGGTGTGGCTCGACTCTCGTGCTGGGATTATCGGTCCATCTGACCTAGCAAATTTTATGGCTCCCGTTTAAAACATACAAAGTAATCTCATTTTAGCCTTTTGGGACACATTGCTTTAATTAGATGAAAGTGTTTAAGTATTTGTCTCACACTAGAAAGTTATAAAATAATAAAACACTAGATAAGACTTTGAGCTACTTGTCCTATGGATGAAACCTCGAGTCTTAACATGGTATCAGCGTCAGGTTCGATTGTGATTTGACTTAGTACTCATGATTAATTGTAGCTTGTTAAGAGTCCGTTTGGCTCATTTATACACCCCATATTGTCTTGTCTGGTTCGGACTGAGAGAGCGTGTTGATTAAAGTATTTGTCCCACACCGAAAAGTTATTGTTGGAAAAATGTGTTAAAAATTGCATTAAATGGTCATTTTGGGGCAACTATTTGAGTGGGGTCCACTTCCGATTTGGGTCGGCTCAAAGTGGTTTCGGATTGTCCTTGTTAAGTCCTACAATTCGATATATGGTACGCTCAAAGCGAATAACGGGTGAATGAGAAATTGATTCTCGAAGTTCACTCGTTGAAATGGAAAAACTGGGAAAATTATGGATTTCTAGTGTGTTTTATACCACACCGGAAAACTCAAAGGATTTTCACCCCCTTATAAAGGGAAGCCTCTTTTATGGAGTTAAGATTCCTAAAGGTAAAGGCTCTCTCTCGCGCGCAGGGGGGTGCCGATCAAATCCTGAAAACGGAGTAAAAACCGCGACTCGTGTGTGAGGGCGACCTGCGGACACAAATGTCGTCCGAAAATCTATCATTCAAAGTTATGATTTAATTTGAGCTCTAAAACACTTCCAGCTACTCCGAAAAAATTCTTGAGTCTTCTACATTGTTCCAGTTCGTCGGAAATTCTTGAGTCTTCTACATTGTTCCAGTTCGTCGGAACTCTCGTTTGTGTGCTTAAACGTTAGTTCGTTAGTCATCGTATCCTGAGAAATGGTCGTTGCAACGCTCCTAGCACCGTGGGAGGCGACGAATACGTTTTAAGGACATCGTGCATAGCACGAGCTTTGGCTAAACTCTGTTCCATCTATTTTCTGTTTTTTCTTTGACTATTTTATTTATTAATTAATTTTTATTAATTATTTTTTATTAATTAATTTTATTTATTAATTAATACTACTAAAACATTAATCCTACTAAAACATTATAATGGAACCCCTGTCTTAAGAATAGGTCATGTTGCATTGCAAACACAAGTTACCTTTAAAGCATTCTGTTTGAGGAATTGCAATTGCTTCCATGAAACCCAATTCATAGATGTGTGATATCAACGGAGCCATCATATCCCATGGTATCGCAATCCTCCTGTATATCATATGTACTATGTATGTCACTATGTCATATGAGTACCCTATCACAAACATCCCAAAATTGTAAAGTCAGTCATTTACTAGTAGTTTTTTTTAGAGCATTTACTAGTAGTTGTTAACGCTAATTCAAGAGGTTTCAAATTTAAATAAAAAAGATGTTATAAACGTAGTATGAGTGTGTGTGTGTATCTTGATATTTAACCAGTATGAGATCGTTTATAATGGTAATCTCGTCTGAGTCGTCTCATGTTACTAGAGCATTTTTAATGTCATGTTTCAAGGTGTTAAAAATGAAATTATATGATTAAAATAAATATTGTTTACAAAATCAGTCTCCTTAAGTGTATTGAGAATATTATGTACTAACTTTAGTTATAGTAATTTATGTTCAAAATTTACACTTAAGTAATTGAGATATCATAGTATAGTGATTTTTGGTCATATTTTTATAAATAAGTTTATTTCATGAATAATTTTGAAAAACCCTCTTGAAAATATGTTAAACTCTAAAGTCTAAACTAACAAATTAAACATGTGTTATAAGACAATTTCATAAAAGTAAATTTCAAGTAAATGTTTAGAGAAACAGACATAACCTCGCACCTAACCCAACTTCTGAGATCTAGTCTTTTAATTTGGACAGAAATTCCACATTGTTTGATGTAAATTTTGTGAAAATCAAAACTAATAAATTACTTAAACAAATAAGCAACAATAATAATCAAAGTGGAAACTTTTGACGGGAATCTAATGCTCCCTGAACAAACCACACGTTACTGGCTTACTACTTGCTCGACATTTGTGGATGCTTTCATTATTAACTTCCTTTATACTCTGCGTTTTTTATCTGTCAATTGATTAGTGCAACTAGACCAAATGGAGCCCTTAAGTTTCGCATATTTGATATGATGAAAAAATAGACTTTTAGCGGCTAGATGATGAGATATGTTGAAATCTCCACAAGATATAAAGGACCCTTTAGTAAAAGGAATTTTTTTTATTTTTCAAAAAACTGAAAAATTAGGGGAAGAGCAATTGGAAAACGTGTTTACCTGTTTATTCTCAAAAAGTGAAAAAAAGGTGAAAGGTCTCTTAAATTTCTTCTTAGATGGAGAAGTATACAGTGCCTTGAGCGTATTTTTTTTGGATATTTCTTCCTAATCTATTATAGTATCTGTTCTATGTTAAGGTTAACATCGTGTTGAGATACTTGACATGTTTTAATGCATCCAATGTGTTGAGATAATTTGAAAAATGGAGAAAGAAAATCAGGAAAAACAAGAAAACTCAGAAACAAGTAAACAAACTATGAGGCCGTTTGGCAACCCTCATTTTCGGCTTATCAGGCTTATCAGCCAACTTTTTTACCAAACATAGAAGTTACTTTTATTGAAAAATCAGGAAAAGGAAAACTCAGCAACCCTCACTTTCGCGCGCAGAATTGTGTAATAAGCCGAAAAAGTAAGGTTGGAGTTACTTTTCTGGCTGTATTGGCTGAAGTTATCGTAGATGATCATTTTAGCTATTTTTAGATATAATTTTTTCTTTATTTTATTAATAAAATATTTTTTAAAAATATTTTTTTCTTGTATCAGCAGAATCAGCCAATGCAGCCACTTCAGCCAGAACTTCATAAATTTCAACAGAATCAACCAAAACAGCCGATTTTCGTGTTACCAAACGGGGGCTCTATGTTTGTACTTTTATTAGTTCGGTGAATTAGTGACTTGTGTTTTGTAAGTAACCAATTTGTGCAGGAATAGGGTGAGGATTTAAAATAGTCAAATTTATCAGTACAGTGGCAACTTTATCAATTGTTTTTTCCTGGAAATTAAATTGTACATTTCTAGAGGGAGGATTTAAAAAGGCCAAATTTATTAGTTACGGAGCATAATATAGTACGTACGGTTCAACTAATACACTATATGAGCCTAAATAATTGAATGTCCTTTTTACCCAAAAAAATACGGAGTAAGAGTTACTCTCCCCGTCCCTAAAAGATCTTCCAACTTTTCCTTTTCGTTCGTCCCAAAAAGAATTTTACTTTCTTTTTTTAGCAAAGAATTTGTGGTTCACAGTAATTCTTACACATTCTTACATATATCTCTTTCTTCTGCAGAACTCTCCACCACACAATTATCACTTTCTTATTCCGTGTGACATTTGTACTACGGAAGAACATTTAGGGACGGAGGGAGTACTTTGAACCACAAAAGCACAAAATAAAACATTTGTTCATTTACTCGTAAGTTGTAACTTAGTTATATATTTTCTATAACTAAGTTTGCTCATGTTGAAAATTTTGTATGCATTTTGTCCCGGGTTAGGTCCCGGGTTAGAATCCCGTCAACTGCGATGAGAGGTTACTATGCTAAAATATGCATAGGATCTTTGCAAGTACCGGGGACAGAACCATACTCTCCATCTGTCAAATTGTGATTAAATTCCAATTTACATCCTCTCAACGTACCATCCGATCGGGGTTTAGAAGCGTCATCATTTTGTCCAGGACTCCAAGTTGGCGTCATATGTGTTTTCGAATATTGTTGATGGTGGCACTGACTTGCACTTTTCCGTGAGGTCATGTGTAATTCATTCTTTTTTAGATTTTTCAGTCCACCAATGTTTAAGCTTAATATAACTGTTCTTTGATCCATGACATCTCAAATTCATGAATCTGCCCCTGAATTTTGGATACATATTAGTTACAAGGAGATAAGGAGATTGTGTTCATGTTTGGTTGGCATAATTTTAAAAGTACATTAGTTACCTTCAAAGACAAAGTTTGTTACTTTTAAAATTAATTAATTATAGCATATTGTTATATCAAACATAATTAAGTTAAAAGTCATCTTTTAACAAATAATTACGTAGTATAATTGTTTTGTTATACAATCTTTTTAATCACTAAAGGTATATTTATGAGTAGAGCCGTCAAAATGGGCCAAAATCCGCGGGTTGGCCCGTTTAAACCCATTTATTAGTGGGTTAGGGTTATGAATTTCAAACCCATTTAGTTCGCGTGTTTCGCAGGTCAACCCATACGGGTTGCGGGTTTAAGTGGGTTGACCCAACGGGTTGCGGGTTGGCCCGCGGGCCAATATACAAACATATAGTTTTGACTTTTATTATCTTCAATATTGTTCTTTTACTACCAAAATTATTATCATTACAATTAAAAAAATTACAGCCATTACAAAATAATTATTATTTCTATAATAAATATTCAAATAAAATGTTAAAACATACGTAGTACGGAGTATATTTTATGTGAAGTTCGAAACAATATTTAGGAATTACTAGTCATGAATTACAAATAATCAATCAAAAGGATTAAATAGATCTTTACTTTTATACAATGAGTATTTTTCTTACATACCCTTTTATATTTTTAAATTCTTATATAACTCGTATTTAATATTTTTTAATTAAACTTAATAAGTTTTGAGTTCTTAGTATTTTGATTTCTTATATTTCCCTTATATACTCCAAGGTAATTATTTTTAAAAAAATCTTTTGTCATATATTTTTTATATTGGCCCACGGGCCAACCCATTTAACCCACGGGTTAGGTGGGTTGGGTTAGGGTTGTAGAATTTCTGGCCCATCATTAAACGGGTTGCCCCGACCCAACCCACATAAAACATAACCCGTCACAGACCGGGTTAGGTCAGATTGACCCGTTTGACAGCTCTATTTATGAGTTTGGAGAGAAGGCAAAGGAAGGCTCAAAGGTTAGTCCTAGTAGGGGGTGGGGAGAGAGGGGGGATTCTTCTTAAGTTCATTTCAAATGAAGATATAGTCACTCAAAATCCTCCAATTTGGAGAACGTTAAAATTAAGCTTTTGAAAGATTTTGTAGAGTCACGAGAACCCTCCATAACTATTCCTTCCAAGTTTTTTAAACACTCAAATGAGAAACAAGAAGTCATGAACCCTCCTAATCCTTCCTCTTTCCACCGAAACATGACTCTCAAAGATGCCCTTACAACCTCGAAAAACATATTTCAATTAGTTGCGACAACCACACTCAAATTAGTAAGTAAATTTAAATTGGAAGTATGCAGAGAAGATTAGCATAACCCGCGTAAGAAATGGGAAGGATACTTGAAATATTCAAACAAATGTCTCACCTGCATGGATAGGGTCAGGTACAAAGTTGTGTCCCAAAGTATGCATCTTCATCAAGGGAGTCAACCCTGCTATATCACCATAGTCATACGCATATAAACCTTTAGTCAACGAAGGGCATGTTGAAGGTTCAACTGCCCTAAAAACAGGGTCAAGTTTCCCTTTAAGCTTCTCCCGGAGAAACGGGAAGGCAAGGCCCGCAAAATTGGACCCATCGCCCGTACAACCCACGATCAAATCCGAAGTCTCCCCCAAACTCTCCATTTGCTTTATACACTCCTCACCGATGATTGTCTGGTGTAAAAGGACATGATTTAGGACACTACCCAAACAGTACTTAGTATCTGCATTGTTAGATGCAATTTCCACCGCCTCAGAAATGGCCATTCCCAAACTTCCCGGAGTTGATGGGTCCCTTTTGAGAATTGCCTAACCCGCTTCGCTCACACTAGAAGGAGATGAATGAACTTTGGCGCCATATGTTTGCATCATCAATCGTCGATATGGCTTTGATCGAATGATGCACGTACTTGTCACACCTTCCAAAAATGTAAATATTGTTACTAGGAGTGGGCATATCACTTTTATCAGTTTTTGGTTCGATTTAAAATGGATTGAAAGAAATGTTTATAAAGCAAAAACTATACTATAATGAATTGAAAAAATGGCACGCATATGACTACTGAACTTTCTAAAGACAAATTTATGACAACTTTTTCATTTTCCAAAATTATGACTAAACTAGGCCCTTCCTCTTCCGTCCGACCCTTTATCCTCCCATCTCACCAATCTTCTTCTTTGCGTGACTCCATCTCCCATCCCAGACTTGTCACCGCCTATACATCGTCATTGCCGCCTAAATCTCACTGCCGCCGCTGGTACCTCGTCGCCACCGCCTGATCATCATCGTCATAATCTCCTGTTCGCCGTCGTCGCCTCTCCACCAACCTCTCTTCTTCTTCTTCTCTTTTCTTTCATCGTCACCATCGCCACACACAACCGCCATCTTCAATTCGTCGTCAGATTTCCTTAATCTCTCACTTCAAATCAGCGATGGAGGTGTAACTCGGTTCAAATCTAAAGCGGATTTGGTTTACAGGAAAAATAGATCAGAGGGGGGTCGCGACGGGTCTGGAGTAGGGGAGTGGGTTGGGATGGGCTAGGTGCCGGTGTGGTTCCGCCAGTGGTCGGATCTGGAATTGGGGTGGGAGTGACGGTACGATGCAGCGATTGTAGGGGGTGGGGTGGGGGCGAGGTGAGGGGCATTGACTGTGTAATGGATGGGGGCTATGAAGTTGTGGTGGCCGGTTGTAGTAGTTGACGGCAGTCACAGTAGGGTTAGGGGTTGGGGTAAGTGGGAGAGGGGGTTGGGGTTGGTGTAGAAGAGGGACTCGGATTGGCGGCATGCGGTGGTGGCAAGCAGGTGGTGGACAGGGGTGGTCTCCGACATGGACGACGGACGTTGAGTTAGGTAGGTAGTCACTGTGGGAGTTGGGCGGGCAGCCACTTTGGCCGGGGCGGCGGCAGTCACTGGCGGTCGTGGCAACACAGTCACTGGCGGGTAGAGTCACTGTGGCGTCGCAGTCACTGGTGGGCGAAGTCACTGTGGCGGCGGTGACGACGACGGCCGGTGGACGGGCAGTCACTGGGGTCGTTGGGTCGAAGTCACTGTGGCCGGAATCACTGTGACCGGAGCGGCGGCGGTGCTTTTTGGAAAAGTTTAAAACAAGTCACATTTTTGTCTTTTTCATTCATTTTAGTAATATTGGAATAAAAAGGCCACACGAATTCGAATATGAAATGAATATTAATTTCGATTTGTATTCGTTGTTTAACAATACGAATAGTTAATGAATCATATACGAATATCGATTTGATCATAAATTAAATATCAGTCAAATATAACTTTAAAACAACTTTTCCTATGAGTGCTATGACTTAATGCGTTTTTAGAATTTAATTTGTGACATTTCATTTTTCTTTAAAATTTAATGGACTCGATGCGTTTTTAGGTTGTGCACAATATACTAAAGTGAATCAATTTTATGATTATAATACATTACGGAGTAATATATTTCAAAGTTTTTGAAATAAACACTAACCCACACATATTAGAGATTATACCTATAATGTGTGAAATAAGTTGATAATTGTATATATCAAAGTCAAATGACTCTAATTTTATGTTAAATATTTAACATTGTTGATAATAAAAAACACCATTAAATATATAGTTCATATTACACACACATAGTGGGTAATTGATACACCTACACATACTAGATAGTTGATTTTGTTTATGTATAAATGAATATATATTTTGAATCAAATACGTAATTATTTGTATTCGTATTTGAAAGATATTTAAACCAAAGATCAGATTTGTATTCGTATTACTCCGTATTTATTTTCTATATTTTCAAATTTAAATGATAGCTTATGAATCCAATTCAAGAATCGAATTAAAATTATTTGTTTGCGTTTACGACCCTTACTACTTATGATACTTCTAATTTTTTACAAATTGACTTGAAATGTGTATACGTAAATGTATATATGGGCTTCACTTTGAGGGCATAGCGAGCTTTTAAAAGTTATTATAGTATTATTACTACTATTATTACTATTACTATTCTTAATTATTAATTAATATTATCACTATTATTAATCAAATATATTTGATTAACATTCGAATTGAATATATTGATATTCGTATATTTATTTGATTACATTTCAAATCAAATTTATTATTCTCAATTATTTGTATTTATATTTGAATTTTTCGAATTCGGATCGTCTTATATCATTTTGAATCGAGTATAAATGATTTGTCCAACTTAGACAAGATAGAGTGTCAAGCCCACATGAGAATGATTTTATGAAATATACTGCGCTGTTTAACTGCGCAGTTATCTTCAAAAATTCATTGGACTGCCTTCCCGGTTGAAGTGTTATATGAAATTTGGCATGACTAAACTAGAATTAATGAGAAGATGCTCAAAAAATTTCATCAAACAATTCCACCGGGAACCACTCCAAATGGCGACGGCCGGACATAACCTCCTTTATAAGGGGTGTGTTTTTCCCAATCTATCCAACAATCATGATAGACCCAATTTCTAACAATCAAACAATCATATGAAGTGAAGAAGAAACAGATAGAAGGATATCAAAATAATTGATGAATCTGGTATATACAGGCCGTTGCTCTCCCTCAGAGAGAGAGAGAGCAACGTAAAACCTAATCTCTCTATCTCGCCTCTATTCTCTCAAGCCTTATTTTGTTTTGTTTTCGTAAGTTAGCTTCCTTTTATAGGAGAGGATGGCTAACTTATGGGTTACAAAGAAGCTAATGGGTTGATATACAATTGTGACCCATATTACACATTTAATTAATAACTACACAAATACAAAGATATTTAATTAGATTGGACACCATAAAATATTCCCAACAATCTCCTCCTTGGTGTTCAATCGTGTTGAATTAGCATTGTAGCGCATATATCTTTGTCTTTCTTGTTATTCAGCTTCCTTTATCTTTGAACTTGACTTCTTGAGAAAGCTTTATGATGAAATCCTTGCAATCTCCCCTTTGATGTCTTCTTTTCAATTTGATCTTTGATGTGAGGAGTTGAGGAATCTTTTGCTTGTAATCATTGCCTTCCAGAAGTAGCTCTTGATCAACTTGAATGAAGTCCGAAGGCGCCTTTAGATTGAATGTTCTGATAATTTTCAGGCGCGCACGGGATTCATCTTCAGTACACGGGTATCTGACCTCTGTCTCCTCCACAATGTAGTCTTTTTGACTATTTGAAGTGAATGCGTTTGAGGAGACCTTGTCGCTGGCACATCAGAAAATGATGGTTGACTTGTGAGCGTAGCTGTCCATTTGATTCGAAGCTTTTTATAGAGATAGTAGAGAAAGTGTTGGAGGAGAGCAGTGTCCGAGAATGATTTGTTGAGAGTTAACAGCATGTGGACCACTCTCCCCTCATGACGATCTGATGAATCGGGACGTCATGCCTTTATTCTTTTATTCGAACTAAGAAATAAAACAGAAAATACAAACAGAAAGTTAAAGCGATAAAACCGGAAACACTGAGGTGTTCCGTTATCACAACATCAATGTAAACATTGATGATGTGTGGCCTGTATGAAATGATAGAAACATTAAAGCTCTAACAGGACTTCTAACTAGTCATTGTGAAGCATCTGAATAGATGTCACTCTGGTTGTTATTGCATGATCATAAAGATCAGCATTGAAAAACTTGTAGCCCCCCGAGGTCATGTAGACACTTGTTATCATCATTATAGAGATAAACTCTAAAGCAATGACCTGAAAATGTTGGTGATTCTTATGTTGCAACAGTAGGACTTCCTTCAAATCATTGGTCTACATCTGTAATTGATGAGCCCTATGGAAGTTCTCGTGGGTCATGAAGACCTGCATTTGACTCTAAAAGTGCGTCTGTGTCCTAGAAAATTCAAAACATTTGGGAGTGGGGTAACTAGACACGACGTGATCAATGAAAGTTCATTGGCATGGGGCTGAGGCCACTGTAGTCAGTATCACTTACCACGGAAGGAGACAGTAATGAGAGACGGATTCCCCGTGAAATATGATTAAACACCTGTCTATTGGGAGACAAGTGAGTGGTCTTGGGTAGGGTTAAGCATGCACTGTTGGACAAGATGTAGTGACTTCTACCCGGTATCTGATTAAATCAGTCCTGAACCTATGTAGATTGTATAGTGTATTTTAGTGGCTGGGAGTAAATGTTCAATTGATAGCAGGCAGTTGAGGTAGCAGACTTATCATTGATTATTATTTTCTTTCTCACTTGAGCCTTCTGCTTCCTAACGCTCATAATGTTCACTGACTCACTCGCTCACTTACTCTCGGCTTTGTCCTTTGGGTAGATTTAGTTGGGTTTACTAAGCCATAGGGACATGTTCTCTCATTAATTTTTGTTTCGTGATTTTCTCTCTGTACTCCCCCTCAACTGGAACACTCAGTATGCTTTGTCATTGTTAGGCACCGGAGAGGAGAACATAGAAAACTCCTCCTAAAATGTTGCATCCTTTGAGAGATTCCTTGCTTTGTCGGTGAATGGCGCCAAGAGGAGAAAACTGAAACTCCCCCTCAAAATGTGCAAGGATTGATTGCTCACAGCCTGTCATACCCGCCATGTGTGTGGAGTAATCTGAACAAGTACCACACATGACAGTTTTCCCTAAGCTCATAATCTTGAAATTCAGCACATTGATGATCAGAGAATGTTAATGAGTTAGGGGAGGCTTCAGTAGTTGATTGTTGATTGTTGTAAAATGACCGTTGACGTGAGGTTGATTGAATTATCTACTATTTCCGGACCTCTGCAATGTAGCTTAGACCATATTTGACATTTTGTTTAATTTTGGAAGAATTTGATCA